AAGTTGTGACTAAATTGGATAGTACAAAATGAGTAGAAATGAATAAAAATACTAATCTGAATTTAGAGAATATGTTTCTTTAAAGTGAATTTTTGTGGTGATATTTGTATAGCTATGTAAATATACTGGAAATTAGTGAACTGTACACTTATAATAGGCAGATTTTAAAGGTTGTGAATTATACCCCAATAAAGCTGTTTTTTTAAAAAAGGAAAAGAAAAATATTAAGGTATTGTTCAGATCACCAGGAGAAAAAGGACAGACCACAAGTGTACACATATTTTCCACTTCTATAGGTGTCTACCTTAATACTTTCTCTCACATACTACCTCTGCTCTCCAGCACTTGCCTTAACACTTAGATGTCACAAATCTATTTTCCCAAGTAACTGGTTATTCTATACTGAAGAATTTTAAAAATCCCTCTACTTAGAACTTATATTATAATCAAAGGCAGGAATCCTTCTAATGAATATGAATCATAAAACACCAATATGGGACCTCCCTGCTAGATATAGACTCTGAACAGTATTCACTAAGAAGCTTGACTGGGGCTATCACACACTGTTTTTATCTCAAGCTATGGGAGATGAGGCTGATAGTAACAAAACCTCCTTGTTTGAAGTCTAGAAAATAAAAGAAGCCCCAGTGTGTTAGAATTCACTGAGTTGATAACCCTATAAGGAGAATGCCTTGCATTCTTTCCTAACTGACTGGACTTTTAGAGTCACAGTTGTATAACATAGCTGAAATACAGGAAGAAAAAAATAGTAAAACTGAATTACTAGGTATTTTCAGGGAAAGAGATGCTTTTAATAAATTAATTTTCCAGATGAGTAAACATGGTTTATTTCAGGCCAAATATTTGATTAATCACTTTAGAAAAAGTCCTCTTAAGTTGACATACTTTCTTGATTACTTTTATAACATTTTTATTTTTTAAAGATTTTAACTATTTATTTTTAGAGAGGGGAAGGGAGAGAGAAGGGAGGGAGAAAAATATCAATGTGTGGTGGTCTCTCACATGCCCCCTACCAGAGACCCGGCCCACAACCCAGGCATGTGTCCTAGACTGGGAATCAAACTGGTGACCTTTTGGTTCACAGGCTAGCACGCAATCCACTGAGCCACACCAGCCAGGGTTACTTTCTTGATTATTTTTAAAAAATTAAATTGTAAAATATATACAGAAGAGTGTATGGAATGTATATGTACAGTTTAGATTATACTATAAAAACAAGCACTCATTGATTGATCATCTAGCTTTTTAGAACAGTATCAAAACCATTGAAGGCCCCTGTGTACCTCTCTTAGCCCTGAAGTAATCACTAATCTACATTTTGTATCTGGCTTTTTCCTTTTTGAAAATAATTCATAGGTCTGCTTTTTCAACAAATGTACTGTTTAGTTTTTTTCTATAAGACATATGTAAGTATAGTTTCACTACCTGTTTTTTGAACTTTAAATGAGTGGAATCATGTTGTATGTTTTCCTCAGTTACTTAAAAATTTAAAATCATGTTGTGTTCCATTGTATGAAAATAAAACAATTTAAATATCCAAACTACTGTTTTTTACTTTTGTTTTTTGCTTGTTGCTATTGCTTTACCGACAATGTTGCCATAAACATTATATATATGTATTGGTGAATAGGAGCAAGAGTTTCTCTAGGTATATATCTAATAAATGCTGGGACATACAGTATGCAATCCTGCAAGTAAGTAATGCTGAACTGTTGGTCAAAGTGATTATACCAATTTACATCCTCACAAGCAATGGGAGTTCCTATTAATCTGTCTTTGCCAATTAAATTTTTACTATTAAAGAGTGTACATAATACTATCTTATTGTAGGGGTTTTTTTGTGTGTGTGTGTTTTTTTTTCCTTGCATTTCCCTAATTATCTGTGGTTGAGCATGTTTTCATAAAAGTTTATTGGCCATTTAAGTTCCCTCATCTGTGAAATACCTCTTCAGGTATTTGGCCACTTTTCTATTGGGTTGTTTGTCTTGTTCTGATCCATATAGTCATTTATAGGTTCTGGATACCAATCCTTTACCAGTTGTTTGCTCTGCACATATCTTCTCCTACTGATTAATACTTGTGTCTCATTTAAAAGATCCTTCTCTACTCAGAGGCCAAGAGATAGTCTCCTGTGTTTTATTCGTATGTTTTAAAGCTTTGCATTACATATTTAAATGCTTACTGGTTTGATCAACCAGAAAGTAGCAAGTACATTTGCATGCACCTAACATCATAATTTCAATATATATAAAGCAAAAATTAACAAGAAGAAATTGATAAAACCACAATTAGTCTTAGCCTGCCTCTCTCAGTAATTGATAGAAGAATCAGACAATATGATGAACTTGACCCAATGAACATATGTAGAACACTGCACCCAACACCTCAGAACATCCAACAGTAGAACATTCTTTAAACACACAACACCGACCATATACTTCAGTCATAAGGAGAATTTCAACTAATTTTAAAGGATTATTGTCACACAGGCTATATTCTTTGACCTTAATCCATTTAAAAATCCAGAAATCAACCAAGGTAACTAAATAATACCATGTACTTGCAAATTTTAAAATATTTTAACCCATGGATCAAATAACTTACATTGGAAATCCAAAAATATTTTAAATTGAATAATAAAAAAATGACATCTTGCCCTGGTCAGGTGGCTCAGTTGTTTGGAGTGTCATCCCACACACCTAAAAAATGAGGGTTTAATTCCTGGTCAGGGCACATACCTAGGTTGTGGGTTTGATTCCTAGTTGGGGTGCAAAAAGGAGTCAACTGATCAATGTCTCTCTCTCACATAAATATTTCTCTCTCTTCTTTCCTCTCTCTCTAAAATCAATAAGCATGTCCTTGGGTGAGGATTAAACAAAAAATGACATCTCAAAAACTGTGGCACACAATTTAATAGGAATTTATAGACTTATATGCACACTTTAGAAAAACAAAGGATGGAAATCAGTCATCTCTTTTAAGACATTAGAAAATTAACAGCAGTTTAAAAACAAGGAAATTATAAGAGCAGAAATTAATGATATAGAAAAGAAATATAGGAGAGTATCTATGAGGCCAGAAGTTTCTTCTTTGAAAAGACTAATAAAATTGGCAAACCTTTGGCAAAACTACAAAATATAAAGAAGGAACGAATAACTGATATCTACAATGAAAAAGGTATCATTACTACAGAGCCTTGCAGACATTAGAAAAGTTTTTATGAACAATTTTATATCAGTATTTTTGAACTTTTAGATTAAATGGGCCCAACTCCAGGAAGTATAACTTATCAAAACTGATCTAAGGAGGAGGCTAGGTACTGTATAAGAAAAATATAATTTTGAGACAAATGGAAATTTGAATATGTGATATTTGATGATATTAAAAAATTATTATTTTTAAGTGTGATGATGGTATTGTGGTTGTATTTTTTAAAAAGTCCAATTAATTAAGGACACACGGACAAAACAAAGGGGGAGGGTGGAAGCAAGGGAGGGAGAGGTGGGGAGAAAATATAGACAACTGTAATTGAACAACGATAAAATAATTTAAATTTTTAAAAAAGTCCAATTAAGCCCTGCCCTGGTAGCTCAATTGGGTAGAATGTTGTCCCCATATATCAAGATTGCAGGTTTGACCCCTGGCCAGAGCACATACAAGAGTTAACCAATGCCCTGGCTGGTGTGGCTCAGTGGATTGAGTGCCAGCCTGAAAACCAAAGGGTCATTGGTTAGGTCTCCAGTCAGGGCACATGCCTGGGTTTCTGGCCAGGTCCCCAGTAGTGGGTATGTGAGAGGCAATTACATATTGATGTTTCTCTCCCTCTCTTCCCTCATCCCTTCTCTTTTCTCTAAAAATAAATAAATAAAATCTTTAAAAAAAATGAATCAACCAATGAACATATAAGTAAGAGGAACAACAAATCGATGTTTCTGACCTTTCCTCTGTCTCTAAAATCAATTTGAAAAAGTCTGATTAAAATATTTATAGGTGAAATGATAAAATGAGTTTTCCTTCAAAATAATAATTGACACTACAATTCCACTTCCAGGTATTTAAGCAACTCGAAAAGACATGTGCATCTCTGTTTGTTGAAGCATTATCTCCAATAGCCAAGATAAGTGTTTGTGGAATTATGAATGGATAAAGATGTGAGGTGTATATATGATGGAATTTTATTACTGGGTCATAAAAAATACTGAAATCTTGTCATTTGAAACAACATACATGGTCCTGGAGCATGTATGCTGATTTACTTATGCTAAGTAAATCAGACAGAAAAGATAAATGTCATATGACTTTACTTATACGTGGAATCTAAAAACAAAACAAAACAAATGAACAAATAGAATAAAATAAACAGGCTCATAGATACAGAGAGCAAACTGGTGATTGCCAGAGGAAGGCAGGGGTGGAGAGGGAGAGGGTTGGGGGGTGGAGCACAAGTGAAGGAGATTAAGAAGTACCAATACCTAGTTAAAAAATAAATACGACACAGAGATGATAACAAACAGCATAGATAATAGCCAATAGTTCTGTAATAACTTCGTATGGCGACAGGAGGTAACTAGATCTGCGGGGTAATCACATTGTAATGTACATAAATATCAAATTATTATATGAAACTAATATAATATTGTAAGTCAATTTCACTTCATTTAAACATATTTGATGTTACAGAACCTGTGCCATGCCTGTACAACATAGCATAATAATTTTGTTAATACTTAGGGTTTAAAACTCACAAGCATGAATACTGACCCCTCCCCTCCATTGGACAGTAAACCGAGAGTCCTCTCCACAATCCTATGAGTTGGTCAACTCAGTCTGGTAGTGCTCTGACCCTTCTTCCTCCTGCCTCAGGTTTTTCCCGCCCATTGCCCTGACAACCAATCATTGAACTAGGCTTCAGACCTGAGACCAATCAGCGATCTCTGCTACAGCCCCTTCACGCACGTCCAAGTCTGCCAGGCGGCGCCATGTTTCAAGGACAGCGGGGTTGGTTCTGCCGCAGCGTCAGCCAGGACCTGAGGCAATTCTGGGGTAGGAAGCTGGGTGGAAGGGGTGGGTGAGGTGGTGAGAGTAGCACCCCTCCCCAGTCTTGTGCCTTGGCCCAAAGGTTCTTGCTAGCCTACTCTTTGCTCTTGCCTCCACAGTGGCCGAAGGGGGGACGATCAGTGACGTGAGGGCTGCTGACTTCTTGTTCAGCTGTGATGCTTCCCACCCAGACACGCTGAGGTACCTGAAGGCCACCTGGCAGTGCCTCTCGCATCATGAAGAGCCAGGAGCTGGAGGTGGAAATCGAAGTCCACGCATAAATAGGGATGACAGAATAGACTGGAAATGAGCAAGTTTTCAGTCTTAGATGTGGGGATGAAAATAGATAACCTTTCTTCTCTCTTCTGCCACACTAGCATGGCTGCCTACCTGGTCCCCGAGTCAGTTCTCCAGTTCCAATGTTTTCAGCTGCCTTTCCCCGTCTTGAACGCCCCTCCTATTCAATACGTTTAAACCAAACTCCTGATCGCCTCTCAGACGGGCACCAGGTCCTGTGTTCTCAAGCTTAAAACCTTCGTAGTTTCTTTTGAATACCAACCCCTACCTCCATTAGTCAGTCAGTGACCAAACACCATGGATTGTACCCCTGTAAATGTTCTTAGCACTCGCTGTCATTACCGTAGTACACAGCCTAATTACCTCGTGCCCGGATTATCAGGGTATTTTTCTGAGAGGGCCCCCAGCCTTAAATCTGTCCATCTGTGATCCTCCTTCATATTGCTGTGTGATCGTGTTTACGAAGCAGAAGCCTAAGCACTGTCCTGGTTGTCCTTCTCCACCCCAGTCTCCTGGTTACCTACAGATAATTCTCCCTACTTTCATTCATTTATTTTTGAAAGGTTCAACATATTATTGTTTATTTCATAACCTAAAGTATTTCCTTTCTCCTAGAATATATCAGAGCCTCGATTACACAGATGATAATGCTACAGTTTTTCATGCCTACTATCTCTCTGCAGTAGCTAATGCTGAAGCTAAAAATTCGGTGGCTTTAGGTCATTTCCTGCTTCCTCCTGCATGCCTACAAGAAGGTTAGCAAAGATCATTCACCCGATCCCTGTTAGACAGCCAAATCCAGCTGTCACCCAGCTATATTGATCTAAGTGGAAAAGCATGGCCTTTGGATCAGATTGTCTTGGGCCTATATTCTAGTTTTATTTGTTTATCCTTCATTCACGCATTCACTCACTGAAATCCTACTGTGTGCCAGGTTTCGACCCAGGTGCTGGGGATTCCATGGTGAACAACACACATGTAGATCTTGTCCTCATAGCATTCCCTGGCTGGGAGCCAACACTTCCTGTCTGTGATCTTTAGCAACTTCTTTCTAGTTGTTTTGAGGATAAAATGAGATAACCTAAGTAGTCTGATATGTGAGCATTCAATAAGATGTTCTTTGCTTGTTTTGAATCTTTTCATTATATTTCACAACAATTTTTATGTTCTCTGATATTTAAAGATTTATGATGATAATAAATCCACATATGGCTATTGTTCTTTATACTTTTGAAAGTACTTTCACATTAATTATTTCAGCAATGCTGTGAACTAAAGGGCAAGAAAATAAACTGCTTTTTGAAATTTGTTCTTTTAGTTTTCCATGATTGGAACACACTTTCTTATCCTGTTCTGTTCAAATCCTACCTACCTTATATGGGCTAACTCTAAACATCCCATTTTTGTAGGTCTTGCATTATCACCCAATTCTTGATGTGTTTGTGTCCATCCATAGCAAGACAGATGGAAGCTAGTACAAATTCCCTGTGAGCAAAGTGTTAAAAAAAAAAAACTTAAAAAAGATTTCTATAGAAGAGTTTCAGAAACCCCAAAGATTGGGTTCCTTTCATAGTTAATGTCCTGATAGGACCTAGTTATAACAATAAATTGCTTGAAGTGGTTATATAAGTAAATAAATTAATAACTCCTGTCTTTGGGTCTAGCATCTTACATTAAAATGTATTTAAATTTTTTAAAACTGTCAGAAATGAAAACATGCTCCTTTAAAAAATGAAAACTATATATTATTATCCACCTAGACCAGTATTGTCTAGTAGAAGTATGAAGATGCAAATGGGAGCTACATATTAATTTTAAATTTTCTGGTAGCCATATTAAAAAGAATAAAAAGTAAAATTAATTTTGAGAATATATTTTATTTAACCTAATACATCTAAAATATCATTTTGATATGAAATAAATATAAAAATTATTGATATTTGCCCTGGCTGGCGTAGCTCAGTGGATTGAGTGTGGGCTGCGAACCAAAGCATGGCAGGTTCAATTCCCAGTCAGGGCATATGCCTGGGTGCCTGGGTTGCAGGCCACGGCCTCCAGCAACCGCACATTGATGTCTCTCTTCTCTCTCTCTCCCTCCCTCCCTTCCTCCCTTCCCTCTCTAAAAATAAATAAGTAAAATCTTTTAAAAAATTATTGATATTTTACATTCTTTTGTTTTATACTGTCTTTGATATTCAATATTTATTTTATGCTTACAGCACATCTTGGTTTGAACTAGTGGCACATGTCAATAAGGTACCCACATGTAACTAGTCCAGTGGCTACTGTTAACTAAAGGTTTGGGTGTTCAACCTTTTGGCATCTCTGGGCCTCACTGGAAGAAGAAGAGCTGTCTTGGGCCACACATTAAATACACAAGCACTAATGAAAACTGATGAGCAAAACAAAAGTTTTAAGTAAGTTTATGATTTTGTGTTGGGCCACATTCATAGCCATCTGGGCCACATGTTACTCACAGGCCACAGGTTGGACACCCCTGAAGGAATGTTACCTTTTTGTGCTTGAATGGGCTACTGTGAAAACTTTTGAGATCTTTGAGTTAGGATGATTACATAGTCCTTTGACATACTGAGCACTATAGAAATTCTGCACTACCATGCCCAGTAGACATGTTTCTTTCTACTCTTCTTTTAGCAGAGTAAATTACTGAATTCTTGAGGACCTCTATTCTACAAATTCAGGAATTTTATAGCTCTTATTTTGGTTGGACAATTGCCTTCTTTTTTAATGCTTGGCCTAAAGACACTGATATGTAATGAAGATGTATATTCAAGCAGGACAAGTTTTACAACAATGATTCTTACAATGCATTGAATCATCTGGAAAATTTGTTAGAAATGCCAATTCCTAAGCTCATTCAGTAGGAATCTACATTTTAAACAAGTATCTTAGGTGATTTTGATACAAGTGGAATAATACTGGCCTAGAAATGTCAAACTCCTAGTAAAATTTAGAAAATTTTACATTTACTTTTCTAAAAATAGTATTGGATTTGTTTTCCCTACCACAGAAATAAGAAGAAAAATTGGTAGCTTTATTTGGGAACAAGACCAACATTTTCTGACAGAAAAGGTAAAAGTAAAATAAGATACTTAATAAGAATCTACGGTTTCAAAAATTTTTGAAAGCAATGTAATTTTAAGAATGTTTACCTGTGACACATTAGCACCAGTGACCCAGATTAAGGAATTTAAAGGCCATGCTTTTGTTGTCCAATATCTGATTTGACATTGTTTTTATATTAGTACATTAGTAATATTGAAATATTTTGTATGAATAAAATTATTCACATAACTTGAACATTTGCTGCTCTCAGTAATATTTGTACAGTATATATTAGCTCTTTATTGCCAGTATAGATTCTGAATGATTAATTACTGTGTTGAGCCATTTGTTACATGTTTTGAATAACACCCCTCAATAAATGTGTACAATACTAAACACACTTTATGAATTTTGCCATCCTACTTCAAATTTGCCTGTATTTTTTTACTTCAGAGTCTTTATGCAGTAGCCAAATTTGGGATGCTTTGAACATTAAAAATAACAATGTCAGTAATGGATTATAAAATATCCATGATTCTATAGTGATACTTTAAAGCCTAAAGAAAAAAAAAAAGGAAGAACAGAGGGAAGGAAGAGAGGAAGGAAGGCAGGAAGGAGTAATGGAAGGAAGGAAGAGGTGGGGTAAGAGAAATTTTCCTTATAGAATAGCAGCTAGTAAATACACAAAGAATGATGGAATAGAAAAATCTCCATTTTACCACTCCCAATAAAATAATTGATTTAGGCATGTGTCATTAATGGATCTTAAAACTATGATTTTAAATGATCACCCCATAGATTACTTATTATAAAGATAAGCAATGTACCTTTAGACTGGAGAGATCTATCAGACACTACCTTAACCAACTAATCAAATTTAGCATCACCAATACTGAAACAACCTCTCATTATGTTCAGCTTGATGTAATATAATGAAAAGTTCAGAATATTATATATGTAATGTTCTTGTTCAAAATGCTTAAGCTGAATCTAATTATGAATAAACACTCAGGTGCTTCTAGAACATTGGAAATATCACAAAATAACTAGCTGGCTTAGGCTCTTTAAAACAATGCCATTTTTAAAAAAGGCAGGAAGACTCTTTTAGATTAAAAGACATAGCTAAATGTGATGTATAAACTTTGATTGGATTCTGGATTTTTTTTTTAAAGGATTAAAAAGCCCTGGCTGATGTGGCTCAGTTGGTTTGAGCGTCATCCCGTAATCAAAAATTTGAGGGTTTGATTCCTGGTCAGGACACATACATAGGTTGCTGGTTTGCTCCCTGGCCTGGGAGTTTATGATACTGGGTCCAGACCATGTGGGAGGCAAGCAATCAATGCTTCTCTCTTGCATCAACCTTTCTCTCTCTCCCTCCCTCTCTTGATGAAGAATGAAGAAACGTCCTTGGGTGAGGATAAAAAAAAGACATTTTGAGAACAATTGGGAAATTTAAAATATGGACTGTATATTAAGTGATATTGAATTAATGTTAATTTTCTTAATTGTGATAGTGGTATTATAAAGATAAAAATATTTTTAAAAACATGCATGCTAAAGATTAAGGAGTAAAATATCATAATATCTGCAAATACTTTAAAATGGTTTAGCAAAAATAAAAATTGATAGAAGGAATGCAGGGTGGTAAAAATGTTAACATTTTGTGAATCTAAGTGAAAGATATATAGTACTTAAAGTATTATTCTTAACTTTTGGTAAATTTAAAATTTTTCAAAATAAAAAGGGAGAAAATCTGCATAATATATCTAAAACCAAACAATTTAGTTACATATTTTGTACTCCTTTTATTAATTTATATTTTCACAGTGTCATCATCTGAAAATACTAGTTCTGTATTTTCTTTGTCTATGTTGTACAAAGGACCAAAATATTTAATCCTTGACTTGTCACAGTGCTTCCAGGGACACGAAGGGTTATAGAATGGTTATTATTTGGCAGTAATTATTGAGTATACCAGAACTCTAGAGCTAAAAAGTCCTTAAATTGTTAATTTAATCATTCAGTTTTAGAAATGAGAAAACTGAGGTAAAGAGAAGTAAAGATTTCTCTAGGTTCACATAGTCAGATATTATTAGCATAGTGAAACAAAATTTTCTCAGCTTCAACCCAGCCCAGTGTTTTTTCTACTAAAATTTAGTAGAACATGCCTGCTATACTATAGACTGGAGACTATTGGCACTAGAAATTATCTGATTATATAATAAAGGATTTTGTTAGTTCTTTTAAAATATTGATTGATATTGAATATCAGCCAATTATAATGTAATTATAGTATATATAACTAGAAGGTACTTCATTGAATGGCAACAAGGGTAAATCTGGAAAGTAATTTGGAGGAACATTATTATTATTCAGAGTGGATTTGTGACCTAAATACAGAAATTTCCTAATGGTATACTAAGTAAATATAGTATGTGATAGCTACCAGTATCTGAGTTACTTTCACGTAATCTTTTGGAAAAGCTTAGTATACATTTAATCTTTTTGTAACTTCATAGCTAAATACTTCACTTTGATTTTGAAAGGGAAGATTTGTTCAGCTTACTTCATATTTTTTATTTGTAGCTCATAGGCAGCCTAGGAATCTTCAATTCAAAAATTTTAAGACAGTTTAATGACATTTTTTTGTTGTTTTCTTATTTAAAAAAAACTACAAAGTAATATGATGACATTATGGAAAATTTGAAAAATTGAAAAAGAATAAAATTGGTCAAAAGTTTTACTATCTATTATAACCACAGCTGATATTTTAAAAATTCTGTTCTTTCTTTATGCATCTCTAAAATAGTTTAATTATGTGTATATATACAAAATTTTAAGTTTTTTCCACCAAACTAGATTGAATGTATATAAGTATACAAATATGTTTATGACTGTTAATATATATTGCCAACATACTCTTTTAAGAAATTATTGATTGGATCATTGGTGTGCTGATTTTTAAAAAATAGATTTTATTTATTTTCAGAGAGAGGGGGAGGCAGAGATAAAGAGAGGGAGAGAAACATTGATCAGTTCCCTCTCACACACCCCCAACTGGGGCAACCCAAGCATGTGCCCTCACCGGGAATTGAACCTACAACCTTTCAGTTCACAGGTGGGTACTCAATCCATTTAGCCACACAACCTGGGCAGTGTGCTGATTTTTAAAAATGTGATTTCTCTTGCTATCCGCAGCATGATGAAGTAACAACAAATGAAATAAATGCCCATAAGGAAAGCAGTGAACTAGCCACAGTTCACAAAAGGGAATTATCCAAAAGGTATTGAATTCATTTATTTCAATGATATTCAATTCAATGTAGATATCTTTGAGCACCGACTGTGTACTTATCTCATGTAATTTTCAGTCTTTTTATGAGATTGTATTATCATGATCACATTGCCATTTCACAGAAAAAGAAATCTAAGATTACATAGATGGTAATTTGCCCAGTCTTCTATTAAATGGGGAGAAGCAGGATTTAAACTGGGTCAGTCAAATTCTAGAGCCCATGCATTTAAATACTGTGCTAGACTAACCTTACAGAAAAGAAACTAGAATTTTACCTATATTACGATTACTATTACATTATTTTAAAAATATTTTTAATAAAAAGAAAATATACTAAATATTAGCAATAATTGTATTAGGGTTGGAAGTTCTGAGTGATTTACCCCTCTCCTTTGCAAATTGTTTGTAGTGTGGTTACTTTGGTTTAAGAAATTGTGTTAGGGCCAGTCTATGAGAGTCCCCCTTGTTACAGGCTTATTTGTCACCTAGTCCTAATTTCACATTTTCTACTTCAGTGGTCTTAAAATATTCATAGGGAACACTATCATATGGAAGTCTGGTATTTGGCTACTGAAGTAAAAATGAGCAATAGTAGTTGTCTTTCTTCAATACAAATGTGATAGGTTTAATTTATATAGTTTTTTTCCATTTTAAGTTTTTCTCCCATAATCTTTCTTAATTTTAATACCTGTTATTTTGGCTTGTTACTATTTGATGTAAGCTATTATCTGACTTAACAAAAAGTTCTGTATTCAATTAAGTTTAGTAAACCACTACTTCATGGTCCTGTGACTTCTAGATATTCTACCACTTAAGTTTGAGATTCCATATTTTAGATCTTTTGTGTCTCTGTGTGTAACATTCTTATGAATTTTCTGGTTATGCATTTTGAGATAAAGAACTGGTGAGGAGAGGAAGAAAAATGAGAATATAAGAGATGAGACCATGAAAATATTCTTAAGGGATGAATAGAAGAGAGAACAGTTGTCGTAAGTGACCTTGTAAGAGACGGATAGGAAATAGAAATAAAAAATGACTCCCAGTGACTCACTTGACTAGGAAAGATATAAAATATATTCTTTCTTTAAGAAACGGTTGTCCTGCAAAGCACAGGAGCCATAAAAGAAAAGGTTGGTAAATATGACTACAAAAAATATTTTAAACTTGTACATGGCAACAAAAGTACTACAAACCAAGTCAAAAGAAAAATACACACTGGGAAAAACATTTGAAAAAGGCTAGTTTCTTTAATGTACAAAGAAGGTTTACAAATCTGGGGAAATCAATCCAATAGTAACAGAAATAGACTAAGGATATTGATAGACACCTTCAGTAGGTGTCTGCCTAGAGCCTTTTCTTTGTGGGACCACCAGAGGGTGCAGTACAAACACAGATAAAATACACTGAACTTTTGCGGTATTTAATTTTGTCCTACTACCAGTATTGAACACTAGGTGGTGAACTAGTTATTAAGTACTTGTTAAATACAAGACTTGGGAGCTCACCATTTCATGATAATTCATTTAATTCTCACAACCGTATAAGATACATAAATCTTATCTACCTTATAAGATAGATAAATACTACTAGCCCCATTTTACAATTGAGGAAACAAGTTAAAGAGCTACATAATTCACCCAATGTTATTCAAGTAGTGAAGCTGAATTTAAAACCAAGGCTACCTAGCTGATTCAGAGTTCAAACTCTTAATCACTATGCTGTTTCCCTTCTCAATATGTCCCCAAAATCTACAGAAAGTTGCTTGGATTTTTGTTTATTTTTCTTGTTTTTAATTACAGTAATTTTATTATTATGAATATAGTGCATGCAATTTGTCAAAATAGAAAATACAAATAAGAATAAAGACAATTTAGACAACCAAGATAGGGACAACAATTTAGAAACAGAATAACAACCAGAACTGACAGAAAATTGAATTGTATGGAAGTCGGACAACCAAGGAGTTAAAATAGTGTTCATTCAGACCGGTAGGAGGGGCGGAGTTGGGCAGCCAGGTGCCAGTTGTGGCGCAGAGAGCAGAGAGAGTTGGACCGGGCACATAAGGCATTCAGGGCGTGCAAGATTGCAACGGGCAGACCCTGGGCGCACAAGCAGCAGCTGGCAGACCCCAGCCAAGGGTGGCAACCAGCAGACCCAGCGAGGCGGAGATTGTGAGGCAAGGGACTGCACGGAACCCAGAATCCCAGCGCTGGGAAATAGAACCTTGGGGCACTGATGGAAAACACCTGTTGGGGTTGAGACGCAGGGAGAGACTCTTAGCTGCACAGGAGAGGTCGTTGGAAAGTCTCATGGCATGCACAAGCCCACCCACACAGGAATTGTCACCAGAGGGGCCCAGTTTGCTTGGTGGAAGGGACTGAAGTCTGAGGGAGAGCAGAGCAAGCACCATTGTTCCCTCTCAGACCCCGCCCCCACATACACTTCACAACCCAGCCACTGGGGTGCACCGCCCTGGTGAACACCTAAGGCTCTGGCCCTCATATGCAACAGGCACGACCAGACCAAAGGGGGAAAAAAAAGATGGCTCAAACAGAAGAACAAATGAAAGCCCCAGAACCAGTCTTTTAAGCGACCTAGAGTTAGCCAACCTATCAGAGGCACAATTCAAAGCACTGGTGATCAGGATGCTCACAGAATTGGTTGATTTTGGTCGCAAATTAGATGAAAAAGTGAAGGCTACAATAAGTGAAATGAAGAAAAATGCACAGGGAGCCAATAGTGATGGAAAGAAAGCTGGGTCTCACATCAATGGAGTGGACCAGAGGGAAGAAAACAACATACAAACAGAAAAGAATGAAGAAATAAGAATTCAGAAAAAATGAGGAAAGGCTTAGGAACCTCCAGGACATCTTGAAATGTTCCAACATCTGAATTATAGGTGTACCAAAAGGAGAAGAGGAAGAGCAACAAGTGGAATACCTATTTGAATAAATAATAAAGGAGAACTTCCCCAATCTGGCAAAGGAAATAGAGTTCCAGGAAGTCCAGGAAGCTCAGAGAGTCCCAAAGAAGTTGGACCCAAGAAGGAACACACCAAGGCACATCATAATTACATTAGCTAAGGTAAAAATGAAGGAGAGAATCCTAGAAGCAGCAAGAGATAAGGAGACAGTAACATACAAAGGAGTTCCCATCAGACTGTCAGCTGATTTCTCAAAAGAGACCTTGCAGGCAAGAAGGGGCTGGAAAGAAGTATTCCAAGTCATGAAAAGCAAGGACCTATATCCCATATTGCTCTATCCAGCAAAGCTATCATTTAGAATGGAAGGGCAGATAAAGTGCTTCTCAGATAAGGTCAAGTTCAAGGAGTTCATCATCACCAATCCCTTATTTTATGAAATGTTAAAGGGACTTACCTAAGAAAAAGAAGACAAAAAAACATGTACAGTAAAATGACAGCAAACTCACAGTTATTAACAACCACACCTAAAACAAAAACAAAAAGAAACTAAATGGGAACAGAACCACAGAAATGGAGATCACATGGAGGGTTAGCAACAGGGGAGTGGGAGGAGGAGAGAGGGGGAAAAGGTACAGAGAATAAGTAGCATAGATGGTAGGTAGAAAATAGACGGGGGGGGGCAAGAATAGTATGGGAAATGTAGAAGCTAAAGAATTTATGACACATGGACATGAACTAAAGGGGGGAATGTGGGTGGGAGGGGTGTGCAGGGTAGACGGGAATGAAGGGGGGTAATGGGACAACTGTAATAGCATAATCAATAAACTATATATATAAAAAAGAAAATTTAAATTACTGTAAATAATCCTACTATTCAGAGATAATTACCATCAACATTAGTACATTTCTTGCTAGTTTTATACAAATACACTCATTAAATAGAGTTGATATCAACTGCATATATAGTCTGTCTCTTAATTTTCCCCTTAGTGTTTTATGGGCAGTTCCTCATTCTGAAAAGCCTTATTTGGTATTATGATTTGTAATGGTTTTATGTAGTATTTTGGAGATTATTATGCTAAGAGAAATAAGCCAGTCAGAGAAAGACAAACACTATATGATCTCACTTATATGTGGATTCTAATGAGCAAAATAAACTGATGAACAAAAGAACCAGAGGCATGGATACATGGAACAGACTGAGAGACTTCAGAAGGGAGGGAGGTGGGCAGTCAGGCTGGATAGAAGAAGGTGAAGAAATTAGCCAAAGAACATATATGAACGCACAGACAGTAGTGTGGTGAAGGCTGGGGTGGGCAAAGGCTGGGGGGAGGTGGGCAAAGGGGTCAGGGGATATGGGAGACATCTGTAATAGTATCAGTCATAATTAAAAAGTTTTAAATTATTTACAAGTTTTTTCTCTTATGGCACCATCAAAATCTTTTAAAAAATAAGTCTCTACTTTTAAAGATAATTTTCTTAATATAATTTACAATATAATAAGATATGAGTATTTTTAAAGGCCATGATGCCTACTGTTGATTGCTTGCCACAAAAGTACAAATTTAAATTACCACCAGTGTTGGTCTCGCTACATCCTCATCATTATATTGCCTTAATAAGCCTTGTGCTAATTTAATAGATGAAAATGGCATCTTGTTTTAATTTGCATTTTTCTATGATTAGTAATAGGTTTGAACTTTTTTTGAATTTATTAGAATTTTATATTTCCTTTTTGTGGCATTTTTTGTTCCTATTCTTTCTCCATTTTCTATTGGGGGGTCTTACTGTTTTTCTTATCAACTTATCTGACATCTTTGTATAATACCTATATTATACTTTTGTCAGTTTGTCACATTATATCCTCAGTTTGTTGTCTGGTTTATACTTCTTCAGAAATACAAATTTTAAATTGTTATATCATTAAATTAATCACTTCTCCCTTATAATTCCTCTTATTGCCTTTACCTTAAGAAAAGTCCTTTCCCATTCAGAGATCAAATAGGTTTATTTTGATGTAAAATAATAGGTGAAGATCTAAATTTATTTTTGTTTTGCAAATAAGAAATTTCCACCAGTTTTTTGAAAAATAAATCTATTTCAACTGATGTGTAATTTCCCTTTGTCATATGTTGTTTTTATGTATATGGAGATCTATATACCTAAAAGACTGTTTCATTCCACTAATCTGTGAATCTATTTTTATATCAATACAATATTCTTTTAAGTTAGATAATTTTATTTCAGTATTTTAATACATTAAAGATAAGTCCAAAACTCCTTTTCCTTAGCTCTTCATGCCTACTTGATATTTTTCTTTTTTCAAATTTTAATTACTTTTAATAGGTAACATATGCACGTGGTTCAAAATTCAAGATATACAGAGGAGGATACTATGAAAGTATACTGGCCTCTAGCAAGCCACATTCTTTCCAGAGGCAACCCATATTATCAGTTTCTTATATGCATATACTAGTAAATTTACATAAATATTCTTTAATTTCTCCTTTTTGCACAAAAGTAATAAACTGTATTTCATTCATTTGTGATGCAACAGTGCCACTGTGTTTTAATTACTTATAATATGATTTAATATCTACAACTAGTTTCTCCTCCTTACACTTTTTCAAGTTTTCTTAACTATTTTTTCTTAACTTGTTCATCTGATTTTTACAACCACTTTGTTCATATTTTTTTAAAAATACCTGTTGTTATTTTTTAGGGACATTAACAAAATTTTATAGATTAATTTAGGGACAATACCTTTGAGGCCAAATCTTCCTATCTGAGAAAAGTAGTGCTCTTTTCTTCCTGTTTTCTTTTGTGTCTCCTAAGGAACATTTTCATATTTTCTCTATATAAATCTTGTACTTCTTTTAAGATTATTCCTAGATATGTTTTTCATTCTATTACAAATTTAGTCTTGCTTCCTATTAGAACTTCTAACATGTTGTTCAGGTGAATTTTAGAATTATTTTTTATCTTAAGCTCTAAAATCCCTTTGAGACTTTATTGAGAATTGTGTTAAACTTCAATTTCAGAAGAATTGCTGTCTTTATAATTTTTAATAATCTTATCCAGGAGAATGCTTTTGGTTTTCCTGTACTTTTGTCTTTTATATCTCAGCAAAGTTTTTTATATTTCTACATATAAGATCATAAATTTCTTAGTATGGTTGTTCCTAAATTTTAATGTATTTCATTGCTATTCTAGATTTCTTCCATTTTATTTTGTATTAGTTATTGCTGTTATATAGGAAAGTTATTGATTTGGATGTATTTGTTTTATATTGACCTACTTGGAGTCTAAGATTCAGCTGATTGTCTTAGCTTTTCAGGGTGACCAATCACATCATCTGTTGTAATGAAAGTATTGCTTCTTCCTTCTCACTAAATAGTTCTTCTGTTTCTTTTTCTCCCCTTCTCCATCTCTTATTGCTTGGCTAGAAATTTTAGAGCCACGATAAATAATAAAAATGATAATATTATCCTTGTTTAATCCCCAGTGTTCTGAGGAACCACTATTTTGCTTTATTTGTAGGATCTCATTCTAAGCGAGCTATAGTTAGTTTCTTTTAGAAGAGTTTAGAGGAAATCTTATTTTAACCAAATTTAAAATAAAGCTGGTATTATCACTCAGTATAATTTTAGATTTTTAGGAAAATAATAAATTTAAGGATGATCCAGTTTTTATTATGAAGTTTTTTAATTTTCATACAATTGTTTATTTTCACATGTAATATAAATATAGTAAGCATTGTTATTTGGTGCAGTTAGAAAATAGGATATTTTAGTTGAAAACTGCTTAGCTCTTTAAAAAGTATAATATAATTAATTATACTATACAATCACACTCAGAATATTTTCTTTTCTTTTTAACTCAGAAGTCACTTCAGAATCTTAGTGTAACTCTTGCTTTTCCCAGACATCATTTTTATTTTAAAATATAGAAGGACTAAGTAATAGAGTTCCAATTATTTGAACACTGAATAACAAAAAATGCTGTGATTGCCCTGGCCAACTGGATAAGTTGGTTGGAGTGTCGTCCTGGACACCCAAAGACTATGGGTTTGATCCCTAGTCAGGACACATACCTAGGTTGCAGGCTCAATCCCTGGTCAGAGTGTCTACTGGAGGATGTTTCTCTCTTAGTGCTGTTTCTCTCTCCCTCTTCCCCTCTCTCTCTAAAATCTAATAAAAAATGCTATGATTATTTAAATAGAGCCTATTATGCTCTTCTTTTGGCATATTTAACATTACATATTTTATCTAATTTTAAAGTATTGTTGAATTATTGTGCATCAAGAACACTGAGTGAAAGACTCAGGCATCTATATAACTCAATAAATACTTGTTTTGTGAAGTGGCTAAGAGAATAAAAAATATCTACATGGGCCCTTTTATTACCTAGACACACAAAAGAAGTTGTTAACACTTAATATTTTTACCCAATTAAGGCTCAAATCTGATCAAAGAGCAATTAGATTACTATGTATATTGCCTGGAATAATTTCTCATTTGTAAAACAAGTCCAAAAATAAATATAAATGTGATTTTCTGTATGTTTCAATTTACAGCACAAGAAAGGATTTTATAAGGACTCCAATTGTAGAAAAGCAGATGTACTTCCCTCTTCAGAATTATCCAGTGAACAACATGGTAACAGGTAATTTAAAATAAAATTTAGAGTCAACTCAAGTAGGGAAGAAACAAGGGAATATTTTATTTTATTTTATTATTTTTAAAAGATTTTATTTATTCATTTAGAGAGAATGGAAGGGAGGGAGAAAGAGAGGGTGAGAAACATCAATGTGTGGTTGCCTCTCACATGGCCCCCCACTGGGGACCTGGCTTGCAACCCAGGCATGTAACCTGACTGGGAATCGAACTGGCGACCCTTTGGTTTGCAGCCTGAGCTCAGTCCACTGAACTACACCAGCCAGGGCCAAGGGAATGTTTTATACAATAAAGCTGCTATTGTACTAGCCTAGCAGTAGAACCTTCTCTATTATACATACTAATAGAGGAGATTTGCACATTAAATACATTAATTTGTAGAACTGACCAAAAGAAAGCCCCATATTTTCTGTGTTAAAGTGCTAGTCTATAGGTAGGGTAAAGACATGTCCCAGTTTACACAGACATTCCCATTTATGCCTATTTTCTTAGTATTAGTTTTTACTCTCAAGTGTCCCAGTTTGGAAGAAAAATTGTATGGACAGCCCTCATCACAATTTCCTCCGAGAATCTGATGAAACATAGGTCCCTTTCCCTAGTACACACACACACACACACACACACACACACACACACACACACACACACACACATACACTTACCAACTTACATATAATTTAAAGAGGCTCATATACGCCTAGAAGATCATTCATGGATCACTCAGGTGTCCACGGACTCCATATTTGGGTTTCCTAGTGCCAGACAAAAAAACCCAGCTAACTGAAGCTGACATCGAGAGGATGGAACCAGAGAAGCAGTTGAATAGTGGCCACTGGAATTTGGATAGTGCTGAATGAGGTGGATATTTGGATACTTGATTCGGGTAGTATTCAGTGGGCCATTGATGATTTTAAAAATAGAGGTTTCAAAAAATTGTTTTTCAAACAGCAATTTTAGAAGTATGGGTTTTTGAAATTTTACTTAAAACATTTATATATTTATTTCTCCCTTTATTTAGCAGTGTCAAAACTATCTCCACAATAATCTTCAAAATTGCTACAATAAACAATTTCTGATCCATAAATGTTCTAGCCTTCTTATACTTACAGGAATATTTTTATTATTGTAGTTGTTATTACTAAAGCCATTATTTTAAAAATTTGTATCCTCACATACATCTTTAGAAACTTTATACAGTATGTATATGCAATTAACTAGACATTAATATTTTCTGCACTAGTTTATTTTACACAGGAAATAGCCATTAAGGCAAATATCATGAACCATAGGGTAATAGGTGATATCACTAATGTAGTAATAGTGCTTCTAGGTATTTTCTGAGGTAAATGGCTATGATTAAAATATCTTTAAAAATAGTACTAACCAATTTTATATGATTGAATTCATGGTTAATTTATTAACCATGAGTTTATTATCTATTCATAGAAACAACCAAACTATATGCATAGATAACCTGTTGATGGTGGTGGTGTCCTAAATTCAATAGTTCACCCTGGCTGGTGTGGCTCAGTGGATTGAGTGCCGACTTGCATACCAAAAAGTTGCCAGTTTGATTCCCAGTCAGGGCATATGCTTGGATTGCAAGCAAGGTCACCAGTTGGGGGCATGCAAGAGGCAACCTATCAATGTGCATAGGGTTTCTCTCCTTTTCTTTCTCCTTCCCACCTCTCTCTAAAAATAACTAACTAAATAACTAACTAACTAGGAAATACTAAATTTAATTGTTCTTTTCATACGGGATTTACTTTTAAATTAAGTTTCACTTTCAATATAAACCACAAATACTTATTTACATATTAAATATAGTCATTCAGCCCTGGCTAGTGTGGCTCAGTGGATTGAGTGCCAGCCTGCAAACCAAAAGATTGCTGGTTGCATTCCCAGTTGGGGCACATACCTGGGTTGTGGGCCAGGTTCCCCATAGGGGGCTTGTGAGAGGCAACAGTCATTGATGTTTCTTTCTCTCTCTTTCTCCCTTCCCTTCTCCTCTCTCTAAAAATAAATAAATAAAATCCTTAAAAACAATAAATATTATCATTCAGTTAAAAAAATTGCTATGAAGTTATATTGCTTAAAATGATTGTCGTTAAGTAAGCTCTCCCTATTCTAGGTGTTCTATCTGCTACTCATATCTATTTCAGATTATTTATAACATCAAAATTACTCATACCAATAACCTTTGTTGACTAAGTAATAATATCGGTTTTCCCACTAATTTTTTTATTAAAAGAATATTATCTCAGGCACTCTCCCTCTTGGGAGCATACCCATGCCTTTCCCTGCCCCCTCTTCTTCCTCCACAGGCATGCATCTTCTAAACTCTAAGGATGCCCCTGAGACTTGCAACAAGGAGAGCAATGGGCAGTGGCAGCTTGTTCTGAACCTGTCTCCAAGATCTTGTTTTCTCTGACTTTCTACAGAGCCAAAGCAGCCCAGCCCATGCTCTTCTGTTGCTTTTTCTTTCCTGAGCCTTTGCTAAGCCTTTCTCCACTTTTAATAAATGTACTCTCAAAATTAAAAAAATATATATTATCTTAATGTTAGTAAAACCAGAAAAGACACCAGTGTTTGGGCTGCCTGTCATTACCAAAACCAATAAGCAATGACAGTGATTGAATCTTTATGGGTGTTTTATTCAGATGGTTGGCAATCTGAGAAGACAGTGGGTTTGTATCCTAACAGACCATCTTCCTTTTTCTTTCCAGGCCAAGGTTTTTATAGCAGGGAATAAACAAGGAGGATCAGGTAGAAGAAACTGCAACATTCTTGTCCTGGGCAGTTAGCTGTTCCCAGGGGCAGGTGGTTGTTTGCCCCTCTCTGAAACACAATGTTCTGCCTGCCTCCACTTGTCCCCAGGTGGTAATCTTTAGCAGCACCCCAGGAGATTGGCTGTTTTCCCAGGAGCCAGGATGGGCCTTATCTGTAGTTTCTTAAACAAAAGCTTTAACATATATATTACTTGCTAGGCTTATAACTATTTACCTTAAACTAAAATTTTCCAACTCTTAAGTACCTTATCATTAGCAGTGTGGGAAAATGTTTCTTGCTCTACTAGGAAAGATGAAGCATTTGTGCCATTAGTAGCTAGTTGTATAGTTCTAGATGATTACACTGTAAGCCAGATGCACACTTTCCACTTTTTTTAGTCTAGGTACTTTAATGTTCTATCCCAACCTTGACATCACACTCTTAAAAGTCAAAATGGTAATTAAGTACCTATATTTTAAAAGGAGTTAGAAGGTTGGAGGGAGCAGGTAAGGGGTTAAGAAGGGTGTTCCTTGATAATTATCAAGTGTCATGAAGAATCTTCTCACTGGTATTATTTTTTCTTTTATAAGAAACTTAAGAAATCTTAGCTTTAAAAAACCAAATACACTGAAAATCAGATAATATGATATGATTTCAAATATATACTTTTTTTTTATTTTGTAGACTATATATCTATTGATGCCATGAAGAAATTCCTTGGGGAGCTACATGACTTTATTCCTGGAAGTTCAGGATATTTGGCATACCATGTTCAAAATGAAATTAATTTGTCTTCTATAAAAAATAAGTTGAAGAGGAAATGTTAAGTTAAATTACCCTTATGTCTGGGCATTTATTTTTTATAAAATATTATCAAAGATGGGCATAATTTTAAATTCTCCCATTGGGACACAGTTGTGGGAAAATGGGGATGATTTCTTGTTCTTCTTCAAAAATATGTCTTTAGAAAATTCAGAATCATTTTGTTTCTGTATTTTGATATTTGGGCTGGATTTTTCCCCAGCTTGTAACACATGCCCACAAATTCTGAGTGTACAGTTGTTACTGAGTAATCGTCATTGAAACATGCGATAAGAAGTCTCAGTCTCTCTCTGTCTCTCTCTCTCTCATCCTCTTTTGGCTTAACATTCTATTATATATATTTTTCTAGGTTCAGTGATGTAAATATAAAATGTATGATAATGTATGATTCTGGTTATCTTATTTTGATTAAAAGTTAGAATGCTATAGTTGAATTCTGAATTACTGTTTCTCACTTGAAAATATGAAGTAAAACATTTTAATAACTCAGACTTCATGTGTGGACAATTTCTGATAATGTAGCAGAAGTGATTTGTTGGGAACCACCCTGCCTGGTTTCAGAAGCTGTAATCCCTCATGGCTAAGGCTGAGTAAAGGACCTTGGAACCATAAGCCACTAAGGAGACAAAGCTTATCTCCTTGGCAGGGGTCTGCCTCTGCCCCCTTTTACTTTACCCTGTTTGGCCCCAGATGGATGACTGGTTGGCCAATGATGGGTAAGATTCCTCAAGGGAGGGACAACCTAAGACAGAAATGGTCATGAAGGGGCCCTCAGGGAAAGACTTGGGGGGCTATAGAAAAAGGGGGTAGTGGACCCTCACCCCTAGGCTTTGACATAGCCTGAGTCCTCATTCTATCTGCAAGAAGTCTCCTAATCTCTTGGCTGCCTTACTGCCACTGCCCGACTTAAGCCTGAAACAATGCCAGAGGTGGGCGTGGCTCTGTGCTGGAAAGGGCGGGTTCCCTGGGGTGATCCGGCCTAAGAAAGAATGCATAAAATTCTGTGAAACCTGCTTTGCTAAGAATACCCTCAATTCAAGTGATAAGCATCCAAGCATAGAATGAGTTTGTTTCATCAAAGTTTCATGGCCCTTTAGTTATCTGACTCAGAATAAAGCCTCATAGTTCTTTGAATGTTATCTATTGTTTCGACATTACTGCCTGACAATGATTGATTAACTTTACCTGTATTCCTATGCAAATTAAACCCAATAAAAGCCCATTGAGGAACAGGCTCCAGTCCCGTCTCCTTTGAGAGATTGGCCACCTTTCCTCCCCAAGCAGATCATGTCTTGGTAGACTTAATCTCATCCATGGAGGGCGGAGCCCCGCCCCCCCCCACACACACACATAGTGATTTAAAACAAACAGTGTTATGTCTTCTGAAATGAACTCTCATTGTGTCTTAGAATCATAGTACTAGAAAGTATCTGAGAGAATATAGTCAGAGAATGTGAGGTCTAACCCATTTATTTATTTATTTTTAATCCTCACACTAGGAAATGTTTTTGTTGATGAGAGAGAGTGAGAGGGGCAGGAGAGAGAGAGACAGAGAGAGAGAGAGAGCGAGCAAAATATGGATGGGTTGCTTCCTGTATTTGCCCCAACTAGGAATTGAACCTGCAACCTTTTGGTGTATGGGACAATGCTCCAACCAACTGAGCCACCCAGCCAGGGCCCATTTATTATTTTTAATGAGGAAATGAGGGCCTAGAATGGTTGTCTTGCCTACATGACTAATTTGGGGCTGAGCCAGGACTGGAACACAATGCTTTTGATTTTCCAGGCCAGTTATCCTTACTCTCCCACATGGTATTCGCTCTAGCCTGTGTCAGATATACTGTGTCCTGAGATGTAGTGATTTCGGGAAGGCAATTTCTTTATTCCTATGGTCATACTCTATAGAATCTGGTGGATTTATTACATTTTGGAGATTTATAAATGACATTATTCGTGATGCTATTATCTTCTTAAAACTATACTCTCCTAGGAAGTACATACCAGCCATAGCATTTTCTAAAGAAAATACCCCTTTTTAGTATTTGGGTTATATGAATGTTGTGGGCTCTGGCTTTTTTTCTTATGAATCAAATTTCATAATACGAAAGTTTAACAATAATCTCGCTATCAGCATTTGAAAGTTCTATTTTTCCCACATAGTAACTTTTCCTTGTTTATATTCATGATTTTGGTTTAACTCTTCTGAATTTAAAAACTTCTAAAAACCCTAAATAATGATCTTTTCCTGAAACATAATACATATTGTCTTTCTTGAACACTATCTTAGTCACATCCAGTTGATTATCTTTCTTATATAGAAACCAAGCCTGTCTGTGGATCTTAAATTATTAAAAGGATTAAGTAAATTTACAACAAGCTGTGTACATTGGGATTGTGTATATTGAGAGTGTTCAAGTATTTTTTACCTTTGTAGTATTCATGTATTTTTCAAAATTTTAAAAAAGATTTTATTTATTTATTTTTTATTTTTAGAGAGGGAAGGGAGGGGGGGGGAGAGAGAGAGAGAGAAAGAGAGAGACATCAATGTGCAGTTGCTGGGGGCTGTGGCCTGCAACCCAGGCATGTGCCCTGACTGGGAATCGAACCTGCGATACTTTGGTTCGCAGCCTGAGCTCAATCCACTGAGCTACGCCAGCCAGGCAGTATTCATGTATTAAAATAGTAAATCAAAAACTATAGCAAAATATTCCCTGGCTGGTGTGGCTCAGTGGATTGTGCACTGGCCTGCAAACCAAAGAGTTGCTGGTTCAATTCCCATTCAGAGTACATGCCTGGGTTGCACGCCAGGTCCCCAGTTGGGGATGCATGAGAGGCAACCACACATTCATGTTTCTCTCCCTCCCTTCCTCTCTGTCCAAAAATAAATAAACAAAATCCTTAAACACTACAGAAAAACAAAAGTGATTCCCAAAGTGATTGTATCACTAGATGTATATAGAAAAGGTCAGAAGATATATATATATATCCTTGGATATACACTACCAGAAATACTTGAAATACTTGAAATACTACCAGAAGCAATAAAAATCAGTTGATAAGCCTTTCAGGAATTCAAAGCACACAAATAAAATAGCTAAAGATAAACTTTTGTTAAAATTTTATTGTCTTAACAGGAAGTAAAAAGCAGTATGATTTTACCTACTGCTGGTTTAAACTGTTTATTTGCCACAGCATATCTGATGGATATTGCCCCTGGCTCCCATCTTTTAAAAATGCTTCCCCCTTGTCCTGGCTGGCATGGCTCAGGTGATTGGACCATCATCTCATAACCCAACAGGTTGCTGGTTCGATCTCTGATCAGGGCACATGCATAGGTTGTGGGTTCAGTCCTTAGGGTATGTACAAGAGACAACCAATCAATGTTTTTCTGCCACATCGATGTCTGTCTGTCTGTCTGTCTCTTTTCCACTTCCTCCTCCTCTTTTTCCCTCTTCCTCTCTCTCTAAAAGCAATGAAAAAATTGTTCTCAGGTGAGGACAAAAATTTAAAATAAAATAAAATAAAAATGCTCCCCCCAATTTTGGTATTTCTCTACCCTTTTGTGAACATGTCTCCTCTGATGCTTTTCACTATTAGACATAGTCATTCCTCTGAATGACTCTGAATGACTATGTATTGTTTAATTTAGTGTGTAGTTCTTAGTTATTAGTTCATTTTATCTTTTTTAAAAAATAAATTGATTGATGTGACATTGATTAATAAGATTATACAAGTTTCAAGTGTATAATTCTATCATCTTATTTCTTTCATCCTTTGTGACCAGATTATTTTTCTTTCTAGCTTTTGGTAGGGGTTTGTGTCATTAGATAAGCTATGGGTCATTGGCAGTCTGTTAGTTATTTCTAAATGTCTATTTCCTTTTCTGCCATGATGATAGAACCCCTAATTTCTATCTGGGCACGTGTACCTGGAATAAAGACCATATTCTCAGTCTCACTTAAAATTAAGTATGACTGTGTTACAATGTTTTGGCCAATGATGCACAGTGGAAATGGCATCTGGGAACTTTTCTTAAAGACATCTAACAGGTGCCCTTTGTCTCCCTTTCCTTTCACTCCTTTTTTTCTTGCTGCTTCTTTCATCTTGTCATTTGGAATGAGAATGTGATAGCTATTATGAACCACACGAGCATACACTAGGGTTGGCAAAGCAGGAGACTGAAAGGATCCTTGGGTCCTGAAGGCATGGTGGAGATAGCTGCCATCTCAGTCCTGGATCACCTACCCCTAGACTTTCATGTGACAGAAATAAACTTCCAAACTAATCATAAGTGAGGCCTTGATGATGAACAAGCTGCTGCCTTCACTCTGTGGGAGAGAATTGCATGGAAGATACTAGTTCTTTATATCTATAAAGTATTTGTCTTTTTGTCTGTAAAGTATTGACTGAAAATAACCCTTAGTAATAATGAATGACATTTTAAATCATATTGCAACAATTCATGAAATTGCCATTTTTTCTTCTTGACAGCTTTATTAAGATATAACCACATACCATACAATTTACCCATTTAATGGGTGTGGTCCAATGGTTTTTAGTGTAATGACAGAGTTGTAAAACCATCATCACAGTCTGATTTAGAATATTTTCATTACCCTTAAAACATATCCTTTGTGCATTAGCAGTCATTGCCCATATCCCTCTCCCACGCCCACTCCCCCAGCCCTAGGCAGCCTCTGATCTCCTTTCTGTGTCTATAGATTGGCCCATTCTGGAAATTTTATATGAATGGAATCATATAAAACATGCTCTTTGTGACAGTCTATTTCACTTAGAATAATGTATTCAGAGTTTATCCATGTATTGGTTGTTTTAGTATTTCATTCCTTTTTATTGCCAAGTACAATGGTATTCCACTGTATGATATGTCACATTCAAACATCTTTTTAAATTCAATTTATTGGAGTAACATTCTTTAGTAAGATTATATAAGTTTAAGTGTAACTTTTTATTACATCACCTATATACATATTTTATTTCTTTA